CCTCTTACATTTTAATTTTTTTCTGGGAAAATGGCAAAAGGAAAATTGTGAACATTTTCCAGAAAAAAGAGGAAAGTAAAGAGCTCATTATAGCAAAATTTTAAAATTTTTCCAATGAAAAATCACTCCATAAAAAATTCTGGAAAATTGACTTATTTAAGCAAAATTAAGGAAACTTCACCCTCTTACATTTTAATTTTTTTCTGGAAAACTGGCAGAAGGAAAACTTTGAAAATGTTCCAAGAGAAAAAGGAAAGTGAGTAGCTCATTATAGGAAAATTTCGAAATTTTCCAGTAAGAAGTCACTCCAGGGAAAATTCTGGAAAATTGACTTTCAAATAAAATTAAGGAAAATTCATCCTCTCACATTTCAATTTTTTTCTGGAAAACTGGCAGAAGGGGAAAAAGAGGAAAGTCAGGAATTTTCAATGTAAAATCGCTCCAGGAAAAATTCTGAAAAAATGACTTTTTCAAGTAAAATTAAGAAAAATTCATCTTCTCACATTTCAATTTATTTCTGGAAAACCAATAAAGCAAAACTTGTGACATTTTTTCATGAGAAAAAAGAAAATAAGGAGTTCATTATAAGAAAGTTTCAAAATTTTCTAATGAAAAATCACTCCAAAGAAAGTCAAGAGGAAAGTTCTGGAAAATTGACTTTTTTAAGCAAAATTCATCCTTTCGCACATTTCAATTTTTTTCTGGAAAACAAGCAAAGCAAAAATTGTGGAATTTTTCCAGAAGAAAGAGGAAAGTGGACAACTCAATATAAGAAAATTCCTAAATTTTGTAGTGAAAAATGATTCCAGAAAAAATTCTGGAAAATTGAGTTATTTAAGCAAAATTTAAAAAAATCACCCTTTCACATTTAATTTTTTTTTTTGGAAAACTGGCAAAAGGAAAAATTTTGAACATTTTCCAGGAAACAAGAGAAAAGTGAGGAACTCATTATGGTTCCCCATAATCGAAATTTTCCAAATCACTCCAGGAAAAATTCAAAAAAAATTGACTTATTTAAGCAAAATTAAGGAAAATTCACCCTCTTACATTTTAATTTTTTTCAGGAAAACTGGCAACGCGAAAATTTTGAAATTTTTACAGGAGAAAGAGGAAAGTGAGGAGCTTACTAGAGGAAACATTTCAAAATTTTTCAGTGAAAAATCACTCCGGGAGAAATTTATTTATATATTTTCGGATAACTGAATAAACTCTATTTTAAGTTAAAAAATGTATTACAAAACAATAATTCTGAAGGTGCTCTATGAATTAATTTATGACTTATTTTTTTCTCTAAGTTATGACGTCATCGATGACGTAAGTAAAAACCTTTGTGCCGTGCAACGAACTATAGGCGTATTTTAGCGACAGGTAAACATCATACTACACATACTACGATTCATGACGTCATAGTTACCCAAATAACAGCTGGAATGTATTTGACAAAGGGTCTAAAAGAGGACGCTATGATTGTTGTTTATTTGGGTTTGTTGAATTTTATAAAATTTTGCGTTTTCGAGTTGCCATATTATTTCTTCAGTGAAGATTTTCGAATATTTTCGATAGATGTGGTATTTTTGAATTTTATGGGGACCCCATGACAAAAAAATAAATAAAATTACATTTTTGTGCACAAGTGAAGATTTTTTTTTTTGCAAAAAACCTCTAATAAAATCACAGAAAACCATGGAAAAATGGGGAAAAACAATCCTCTATTTATAATAGAAAGAACCTGTGTCGGTAATCGTAGTCAGCTGTTCTGCCCAATATGCTCATTTTAGTCATTTTCGTGTATTAGAATAAGATGCACTGACATACTACAACCAGTAACTATCCTTCGTAGGATGGTTACATGTTTACAGCCGAGTTTTATGTTGTGTTTCATGTTGTGACGTCATAGTATGTCAGCCATGATCGCTAAAATGTAGTATCCCAAGTAAATACAACATACTACTGGGTTAAAACTCTCGCTAAAATACGCCTTAGATGTTTGTTTGAAGTTTGAGACATAAAAAAACTTATTTTTCAAAAAAAAAGGCAAATGATGACGTAAGTACAAACCCTCGTGGAACTAACTTTTTTTATGCGTCTTATTTCTTTTCCATCAAACACCATCAAAAAAAAAAAAAAAAAATGGTGCTGCAGCACCCCTCAAATTTGGAGCCTAGTTGGGCTTATGTGTTATGGGTCGGGTAGTCGGTTTTATTTTATTGACAAACTTTTTGGGGGTTATTTTTCTAAAAAATGTATACCTACCTACATCCTACATATTAAAAAAAATATATCGAATCAAAATTTTTCAAAAAAATCATAGTGCCCATTGCCCATATATTTATGGCTTGATTTCAATAAAATAAAAATAAAATTTTCTTATTCCTTATTTAAAGTACGTACTGTAAAGTAAATATATATCAGATTTGTTCAAGGATTATTGAAGAAAAAAAAAACTCGTTACAGTAAAAATTAAAGATTTTATTTGAAATATTTCTCTATTTGCATCGACAACATCAGGCTATGGCCAAGGGCGTACCCAGTGGGGGGCTAAGGGCTACTGCCCCCCTAGACGCTAGAACTTTATCATAAAATATAAAATCACCTGAAATAGGCAAAAATATTATATACAGGGTGATTCAAACTCAATGTTCTCCATTGGGATCTCAGAAACGGTCAGAGATATGCGAGGCCGACCTAAATGTTGTTTTCATTTAACATTTAACTGACCTCGTAGGTATCTCTTACTGTTTCCGAGACCCTAAATGGACTACGGAGTTTGAATCACTCTGTATTGTATCAAAATTTTTAGAAAATTCCTATTTATAATAGGAAGATAATGTGGTTATAAATAACTAATAAAAATGGGGAAAATAAAAAATTGCTTTTTTAATTATAGGTCTGCCCTCTCCCCCCCCCCCCCCCCCCTAATTCAGATCCTGGGTAAGCCCTTGGTTATGGAAAAGGAAGTTAACAAATAAAATAAAACTAACATTTATAATGGCTAGCGAAATCAGTAGTAGGTAATAAAGAAAAGAAAGGAATAGGAAACGTTGAAAAATTGAGAGACACAGCAACTTTTGAAATATGCTTTCAAAATGGTATAATATTGAGGAATAATAATAATATTTAGCAAACAATATGCTACAAAATTAAAAATATATATTTTGTTTTTATTAATATAAATTAGGTAATAAAAATGCATAAATAAAAATTGAAAGCCAGGGGCCTTATTTTGTAATGAACGAACCGTTCGATTCGGTAGAATTTTTTCGATTGTGACGTCATTTTCAGATTTTTGAGAGGAATCGTAATTAAATTCATAATAATTAATATGTTTTATGAAAGTCATATATTTAACTACAGGGAACCATGCTGAGCAATAAAAGCATAAACCCATTAAAAAATGTTGAGGAACCTATTCTATTTGTTCATTTAAATCTTCAATAGATGACCACTTAAGATGACCATATTATTATAGTAGGTAGATAATGATTTGGGTCGTTCAGTAAATACCAGATGGTGAGCTAATAAGGGTACTGAAAAGTTATAGTTATGGTGATGGGTAATATAATAGGTTTTAAATGGTGTGAAAATTAAGGTATTGTACTATTTGAGAAGATATGGAGAATATTATCAAGATACATATAAAGAAAAAAATATATGCAAATTCAACAACACTCAAAAAAAAATTTATCTAATTTTAGGATATTCTTCTTGACTTGATTTGAATCACAGTAGGTAGGTACTAATATAAAAAATGTACATAAACGTATAAAGTTTCTTGTTTGTTCTTGGAAATGGGATAATTGGTCTAAAAATATGATTAGGTTTGCATTAATTATCTTATCTGAAGGAATTTCCAAGTTTAACTGCCACATATCTCAACTATTTTCAACTCTCAGTTCTCAGTTAAATAAATCAGGGGATTGAATGTGCTACTTAGTTAATGGTTGACTTTCAAATACGTACTCTCTTTCGAGATAACAATTATAATGTCCTAAAATTCAAGATGTCTTAATTATTAATGTCTCTATATAAACTAGAAATTCCCCATTAATAGACCATCTGTTCTCTTTGCAGTTTTACCTTTAATTTGCACTCATTACCATGTAATAAAATTGTTATGACAATCTAATGGTATTAGAGATAATAATATATAATTTGTAAACATCCATCAGATCGTTGATTTTATTATGGAGACAGGAAATTAGCATAATCCATTAATTGCAGGTTTTATTAATTGGATAATAGAGTCCTATACATATTAATTGTGTATTTAATTAATGGATTCCTATGGAACTGTCAGTGTTTGAATGATTATGCCTTTAAGGAAATCTGTATTAATAAAACAAGTTAAGAACTTCTACTATAAATGACAAGAAATCTCAATTGAAAAAATGTGAACTGCGAAAAAATGTTAAAAAAGGTATTCAATGAAAAATCAGAATTGATGTATTTTATTCAATTCAATAAAAACAGAAAAATAAATTATGTGATTCCAATAAGGACCTGAAATTATCATTCCAAAGGGCCTAAGAGCAAATTATTTATACCAAAACTCATCATGATAAAGATGAATTGAAATAATATCTTTGATTTATTAAAAAAATATTGTTACAAAATTGCATCGAGAACCCGAAAACATTCTACGAATCCAGTTGTTTACGTCTATTGTAGGAATTCTTTAATGCAATGTTGTCTATAAATAACGCGTAGTGGTCAGTTTAAATACAAAATTTATTGGGTACAGTTCGGAATAAGCGCATTAACGGCCGAATTTATAGTCGTTCCTTGACTTTTCCTTGGAGGTCATGAGTTTAGAATGGATACTTGCTAATATTTGACAAGTTAGTCATGTCAATTCTAAACGTTCAAGGCTTCCTTAAGGTCTGAGGAAACCTCAAAGAGCGACTATAAATTCGGCCCTAAGTGATACTTATGCGATTTTTTAAATTTAAGCCACAAAACTGTTACGCTACTGAGCTAAGATCAAATGCCAGTTTGTCATTAATATTGTCAATTTGTGACATTTTTCCATGTAGAATTTTCAATTTTCCGAAATACTTGGGACTAAATGGGCGCTTTAAAATTCCAATTCCATTGAATCCGTATATAGTGGGTAAGTCGAAATGAATTTTTAATGCTTGTCCGTCCGTATGATTCGGTCCATTTTCGAAGCGAAACGGTAAATTTAGTTGATTATTACCGTTGACCTTTGAAAATTACAAATTTTAATGAGTCATTATCGGATCCCGAGCGTAACTGATTGGGCCTTTCTGCCTTGGGAATTTATCTTTTTCGTTTATTATAAATATTTGGTAATTGGATTCGTTTGCTTTATGGATGATAACTAACAGCAATTAGTGTGGCTTTTATATCTATCTCGCGAAGAAAAATAAAACTTCTGAAACCCAAAAGAATACTAAACAGAATACAAATTGACTCTAAAGGCGAGTTTAAACAACTTCAATTGACTCTAAAGGAGAGTTTGAACAACTTCATTTACTGAAACCAGAAAGTATTTTGCACAATTTCAAGTTCAAGTCATGAAGAGTCTAAAAATTTTGAAACAATGTTAAGTAAATTTGATAGCTATTTTATTCGCACTAAAGATATATCATTCATGAAAGATTTAAATTTTATATTAGAATACAACAAGAAGGAGAACATGCTGAAGGCTGAAGATTTCATAACAGCTTCATATTGAAGCTGCTAATTGTTATTTTACTAAAGAAGTTATTCGTGATCAAATTGTTGTGGGTATTTCAGATAAAAAAATTGTCAGAAAAACTGCAACATGATTCTTATTTCACACTAGAAAAAACACTAACTTTTTCGCGACAAAGTGAAGATATTAGAACGCAACAGCAGTTTCTAAGACAAACATCGGTTAATACTGATAAAGAAAATACTGAAAATTATCAAAAGACTAAAAACTATCAAAAATCTTCACCTATATAAAGATAAACCCTCTACTAGTAAATGTTCTTGGTGTGGACGGTGTGGAGTCACTATTGTAATCAGAAAATCGCAAATCCTTTCGTGGGCGTATTTTTATTTTAAAATTACATTAAAAACCTAAGAAGAGTCCAAAAGTGCTCTCTTTTGGCTTTTTCTCATGAATTACATATGGAAAAAAAACCAGAATAAGCGTAAATTTGCATTTTCAAGTAATTTTCTGCAATATTTTGCAAATAAATAACCTAAATTGAAGCTTATTGGCGATTTCGACTACCGATGGGGGCGCTGGCGTTTGTAAACAAATATGGCGGAAAACGAATAATATTTTCAGGAAATCAAACAAAAACGTATTTCGAGCAAAAATTCTTTAATAGGTTAGCAGAGCGCTTTCGACCTTCCGGCCATCATTAGTGCTGACTGAAAGAGAGGACAACAATGGGTTAACAACCCTTAAAAAGAAAAAGAGTTGTACCACAGCCTCCTACATTTAACAAGCCATGAAGTTAAAAAGGCAACACCGCAATCTTACCGCCAAGTGGTGCTGGTGGTGTTTGTTTGTATAAATATATATTTTTTATTTTATTAATATGAATCACAAAAAATGCATAATTTATTGTACTAAAGGGCCAAAAACAGTAATTCAATGAATAATTTAACTATTTGTGTAAATAAGAACAGTAAATAATTGATTTAAAGGAATATATTTCTAGAGTCTAAAGTGTTATGTTTCAGTATGTCTTTTGAAAATCTAACTTTTTCTTTCTTCAGGATTTTTTCGGAAGGCAATTCCATTCAAATACTTGAGCTGATTTTCGAAAATAAGAGGTACCTGGTACCTACTTTTAAGAGTTGGACGTTTTAGTTTGAACTCTCGAACTACGCCTTTATCCTTGTTTGTTTCAAATCTAATTATTTCGGTTTCTTCAAAATGCTTACAACACACCACAGAATTTTTCGTTATTGTATAATCTCGGGTATAATTATCTTGGTGTATTCCTTTCATCCACATTTTTTGCACTTCAAAATTTTTTTGGAAATAAAAATGTTTGCATTTCTTCAGTTTATAAGGAACTCCTAATAGTTCGATTTGCACCCAGGAACACAGTAGTTTCATGGCCTCTGGAACTAGTTTAAATATCTTAGGTAATATATCGAGACCTATGCTCTTGCAGACAAATATTAATATTGTTTTTATTGTTTTACCTTACCTTACCTTCATTTTTGCTCCTGTACTCATTTGCTAAAAATTAGCAATCAAAGCACAAAGGAACAGGTATCAACTAAATATGGGCAATATATTGGTGTGTTTCTATCCACTTTTTCGTCAATAATGCCCATAAAAATACTAAATTGCAACAATACACAATGAAAGCAATACACAGAAACACATAACCCAATAACAAAATAGCACCATACGCGACGTTGCCGTCATTTCCAACTTCATGGCTTGTTAACTATAGGAGGCAGTGGTTGTACTCACTGTAGTGTTCATAATTTAGGAACGTAGCTCCGCTCCTCTGTCGGAGCATTTTAACAAAAAGTCAACTGTCAACTTTAAAAAACAATAAGATAACCTGATTTAAGAATTTAACAAGAAATGTGACGGGTTTTCAAAAAAAGCTATTTGTTACTGTTAATTTGAGAATAAATGTTAAACCAATCACTTAAAACATTCCTTTTATTGAACAACAAAACACAACAAACATAAACATCACACTCACTTGTCAATCAAAAAACACACAAGACCCAAGAATTCTTTTCACGTGGCTCCAGTTTAACTAACCGGGTTACAAAACGGTTAGAGAAATGACATACCGTTTTCTAACCCGGTTACAAAGTAACGTGATGGATACCTACCACTCGAATTTGAGCGGTACCTATATGTTGCGGTTTGTTAAACCGGAGCCACGTGAAAAGGGTTAATGGTGGTAACATATTGGTCACATGACCAAGTGTCAAATGTCAGCTATATAAAAAAAATTAAATAAAATTTAGCCCCAACAAAATGAAAAGGGGGGTACAACAGATTAAAAATATACTTACAAATATTACAAAAAGACTGTTGAAACAATTGAAATTTCTTAATTTGATCGGAATCGCCTAGATCGTTTTTCTACGTCATAATCAACAAATATTCAGGAAAAAACGAACAAATCTAAAACTTAAATTACTAAACGTTAAAAAGCAATGAAAAAAGCCAAAATGTGAGACACCATCAAATAAGTACTTATTAGTTTAAAAAGATAGATCGGATGTTCCAGGATCACATTTCTACAATAGACCTATCTATTTTACCAGACAAAGAGGTAATAATACGAAAACTTCATTAAATAAAAAAAGACACAGAGCGCTCATTGCGCAAGACGAGGCAAAACGTACCAAATTATGTTAGACTTACGTATAGCAATCCGTCCTTCTTATTTGCACAGGATAAAAAGGAAAGGAAAAAAACCGCGTGTTGTGCAACGTATTTGTCAATGAGAATGTCAAACAACTTTTGAATGACACTTGTCAAGTTGAATATCAACGTTAGATTTATTCTTGTCAGACCACGTGCAATGAACAAGGATAAAGAGATGCCCAGCGTGCAAAACGATCACCTCTCACCTGTATTAGCTAGCCAATAAAAAGACATTGCCCCGTGTTGCGGGCGCATACCAGGTAAAAATAGATAGGTCTATATTTCAGCTGATTTTCGACGTCAATCAAAAATACAAAGAGAAATGTCAAAGTCAATCAAGCCAAAACAGATGTTTCGACAGGATGCAAAACTTGAGGGTTAAAAACTTTTAACAAATCTATCAACAAACCTATGACAATGAGACCCCAGTGGCGTAGACTACTCCCAAAAATTTTTCTAAATATAAAGCAAAAGGCCCTTCAATCGCAAAAGAGAAAAAGACTCAACCAAGACCTCAAGCAAACTTCAAAAAACCTTTAAAACCCAAAATTGTAACTACATTAAATTGTTAATATACTATAAAAAAAATAAAATTTAAAAAAAAAAAAAAAAATTTAATTATTTAATCTCCTATGTAAAGGGATATAAGATCTATTCAAGTTGACCTGTATGTTGAGACAAGAAGGGTTGTTACTCAATTCATTAGTGATTTGGATATCTTCCAGAAAATCCAGGCGGTTATGATTCTTGGAACTGATAGAATGAAGAATCTTAGAATTGGTTTTAGGACTGAAAGTGTGATTCGTCGATCTTAGATGTTCTCCAAAAACCGAAGAGGCTCTATTTAAGTGTTCAGTGATCCTTGTCTTTAATGGTCTACAAGTACGTCCTACATAAGAACAACTGCAAGAATCACATTCCAACTTATGGATACCACTTTTGGCTAATCTGTCAATTTTATCTTTTGTGTTAACCAAAAGAGAACCCAAGTTATTCTTAGTCTTATAAGAGATACTCAAATCACCAAGATGCTTTTGAAAACTATTTGAAACCTTTTTGTTAAGATATGGATTAATGAAAGGGACAGAAATATATTTATTTGATTGGCCAGTGTTGGGAAAAATTTCCTTCTTAAGTTTTCTGAGTTTAATCTTATCAATCATTATTCCAATTAGGTTAGGATCATAATTATTTTTGTATGCAATCTGTTGAAGCGTTTTAAATTCCTCGTTATAGCTTGCAGGAGACATAGGTATGCTCAAAAGACGGTGGATATAGCAATTGAAAGAAGCCATTTTTATGTTGGTGAGGATGATTAGAACGGGAAGAAATTATATGATCAGTCTGAGTGGGTTTTCTGTAAATTGAAAAACTTAAGCCATTCAAGTCTTTGTGAATTGTTGAGTCAAGAAAATTCATCTTGCTATTAGCCTCAAGCTCCAAATTGAAAGAAATGTTTTGATGTATGTTATTCAATTTATTCAACAGTAAGTCAGCTCCTTGGGCATCACAATCAAGGAAACAAAGACAATCGTCCACATATCTGAACCAGTGCAGAATCTCACTGTTGTTATCGGTTATTATAGAACGAGTTCGCGGGCGAACTCGGTCTTGCAGACGGCAAATGCACTTCGTGCATTGGAGTCTATATTTACCTTTAATTGGAAAGGGGTTAGTTCGTGTAAGTTCGAGTCGGCAATGTGGGGACGTCTCGGCTTCGCCTCGACACAATGCTCATTTGTTTTGTCCTTTTTTTT